ATGCCCAGACCAGACCATCATTTATTTCTATTTATCTAGAATCATTTTGACCAACAATCTGTCAAAGTTGAGGTAACAGATATATATATATATATATATATATATATATATATATATATATATAGAGAGAGAGAGAGAGAGAGAGAGAGAGAGAGAGAGAGAGAAGAGTAAATTCTCTAAAAGTCCTGACAACCATAATGAACAATCATTATATGTAGGTGAATATGTAGTTTATTAAAATTCAAGAAATTTTTCTAACTGTAACGTTTAACTTAGAGGCGAGGGAGAAGAAACCAGAAAATAATAAGGGTGGAAAATAACGTGGGAACACAAGGGGGGAAAAATCACCCTGAAAGACAGTTTACTTTTTATGTTCAAACATAAACAGACCTCTCTAATCTCACCTGTGTGAAAAGAACACTGGTCTGATTGAGTTCTTCAATGCCTTTTCTTAAAATGTATGCAGAGCCCTGACTACCAGCACAAAAAGAAACACGATATTCAAGCTCTTCCTTAAATATAGGGAGTCCACTTTATACTGGTCAGGTTTTTGTGTGGGGGGAAAAGAAAAAGTAAACAAGTGTGGAAAATGATCACACACCCATTCTGAACATTTTGTATGCCACTGTTTCTTTTTATGTTTTTACCTCAGGAGAGAGTCAAAAGCTGGCTTTGATAAACAGGGCTGGATCTTGTTTCTCCGTTTCATTTCCACAGGTGGCACCCTATGAGACAAAAATAGCGTCCGTCAGAAAGCAGAACCAGGCAGCCAGCCCAAAGGGAAGCAAATGCCCTGGGAACCCACTCGGTGCCACCACTGACAGGCCTCTTAGGCAGGAAATAAAAATCCTCCCAGCAGGCCCTGCAGTATGACAGCTCCTTCTCCAAATCCTGCATGCATGTGAGGGTTCATGGACGCAAGGCAAGAGAGATAGAAAAGGCTGAGGTGATGTGTGAGCCACAGCGATTCAAATTGCAGTGAATCAAAGGACACTCTGAGAAGCACTCAGATTTCCAAACTGTGGGAGCCACAACCTGACTCGCTTTCTAGAAGTCCCTGAGCTGAGAAACCCAGCTCACCCCACCCAAGTGCACACAGCTATCTAGGTCCCTTATGCCACATCTGGGGACACTTTTCTGGCAGCAGACATGGCAGAAACACTGATCTGCAGACCCTGCCTTGTGATCTGGTGACTCCACAAGTCACACTGTTTGGAGTCATCCCTAACTCTTCCTCTGTTGTTGGCACAGATGAGGCCCTGTGTGTTTCCTGAATGGAGCAGTTGTCTCCACAGTTTAAAAGATCTTTGTGTAACAAGACAATAAATGAAGGGAGTAGGGTGGCAGGATCCAGACGCAGCCAGGAAACAGGAAAGCAGTTTATCATAAGAACATATGCATGATCATTGATTATGTGAAGGATTAATCTAAAAAGAAAACTAATCAATTTTCTTCTGTAATTCATAGGACTCAACCAGAAAGAAATAGTCTGAACACTTCATGGATAGACTCAATTTTCAATTTGGGGGGATACCAAATTCTCATAGTTAGAACTGCTAGGTTTCTGAACTATGAGGCTAGTAATGTCCTTATGCTGAGAAACATCTTTTGTGAATGGCAAGATTTCCTTGATTTATATGTAAGAAAGATACACATATGGTGGACCAGCAGCACATCAGGTCATAAAAGCTAAATTGTATTCAGAGGGCTAATTAAGAGATAGAGGTTTTTAAGAGGTTATTAAGAGGCAGAAAACAAACTGTTTTAGATTGTGAAGACAAACTTTGGGTGGCTTTTAAAAAAAAAAGACATTTATCTGTCTGAAATAGTTTTTAAGGAAACAAGTTCATGGCACAAACACCCATCTGAGGTAATTTCCCATGGTACTTTCTGTGGCTAGAGAAATGTGTTAGCTTAGGAGTGACATAAACACTCCTGAAATCCTGATAACAAAAGATGGTGCTGAATTCGGACCCTTTTCATTGTCTTTTTCATCATTTCCGCTGTAATCAACATCAGGGAAATAGAAAGCTTTTTGCTTTCTCCTCTGTTCTTGTCTTTCATTCTAAGTGTGGAATAGATACAGGATGCAGCATAGATGGAGGGAGAGATTCCTGTGGTATAATTTTCATGTAGTGTATAATCAGACTTCTAAGTTCTCTAGCTCAATATTTAAGGTCAAAGCCTAAAATTTACAGCTAAACCCACCTACCTAGCATTTGGGTTTTTCCCAGCAACCATTTGTCTAACTTCCTTCCATGAAGAGCATTTCAATTGTTTTTCAATCAACCAGTGATGACATTAAATGCAGAAGCATCACTTTATTTTTTTTTAATCTAGTAAACACAAACTGGAAACATGATCTAGGATCTGTTACTGAAACACTGGCAAAAAGTACTGAACTTTGTCTAAGAAAGGAAGTTGTCATGTGATTCATTTTGATATAATCATATACTACCACCCACTTAGCATTTAAAGGTCATCAAAACTTTATTCCTAGACAAAGGACTGACAAGTGGGTAAAGGGAAAAAAGCTTATTATAGAAGTTTTCTCTGCAATAAAATTATGTGTGCCTTTTCAAAGATTTATATGTGACACTTCAAGTCAAAGTTGTTCCAAAATATACATGTATCATCATTCACCAAATATTTTTAAACAAAGGAAACCATATGTAGTATCTACACTTTATCAACAATCTCTTATCCAAGCATTTTGGGCTCTAGAAATCAAGTATCACAGAGTCCAAAATTTACCACATCAATTCAAGGAGGTGAAATATTACATAAAGGATGTTATATCCCAAAGATGGTCAACACCACTGCTTCATTGAAAAGTCCATAAGAAGGTATTGCTTATCAGTTTTTCAACTGTTAGAGATAAAATGTACAAGATACTAGAATGGTAAAACCGCAGTTGATAATGGAAAGCTAGAAAAGGTTCCAAATGTTACAGGAGTTTTTTTTTCTAAGTCCCTCTAATAATTTGTGCATCTGTGTGAATGACTAGTTTGGGAGTTATTTTTAAACAGCAAAAATGAAACTTACCAATAGACATTTGCTCCCCATAATATACAATGCAGCACGTAATAGAGGAAGACAGCACTCAAGAATATGGCCACGAGGTACCCTCTCATGGCTGGCCCACCTGAAACACAGGGAAGGCAGTACAAAGAAAAGGTAAGGTTATTATACAGATGATTTACCCAATGGCTCAAATATAAGTGTGAGTGAATAAACATACAGAAAGGGAAAAGGAGAAGAAAACGATGTAGGCCTATTATTTTGGAAATACCCACTAAATGTGCAGAACAAAAAGGTTTTTTCTGTCTCTCTTCATCCTCTTATCTTTAATCAGCACAACATAATACATGTGTAGACAATAAACAGGTCCATGGTGTCAAAGTTAGTGGCGTCCCTACTACTTTCGCATGTTAAATAAGGAAGAAAAAAATTAATTCAGAACCAAATTTTACACACTCACTCCATAGCCAAACTTTTTCACCTATTTTCTCTCTCAGTAGAAAGTGAATATATGTCTTAAGGCGTAAATAAACATCACATTTCTTTAGTGGTTGAAATGACTTTTAAGTGTTATACATTATAACTTTTAAAAGTCAGTTTTCTAATAAAAAAAACACCGAAGAATAAAGCTTTTAAAAATATTTCCCACATCCTCAATTTTAATACACTTTTATTTGATTTTTCAATATCATAGCACAAGTAAATTGAGCTTATTACTTGCTTACATTTGTATTAAATGACATTAAATGCATAGCTCATTGCATATATGTAGACAGAAAAAACTTGATACAATCCTTTCTAGAATATAAATGCAAACAAAAAGAAAGCCCCTTTAGAGAATACATATTTGTAAAACACCTAGAATACGTTTGTTATTTCCCCTTTTGCTTCAAAGACACACGAATAAGTTCTCATTTTCACATGCAATTTAATAAAACAGACAAATTTTATACATACATATATATGGTTCCATGATACATCTTCTACTTCAATGCATGTGACTTTAAACGCGTAAACACGTATACTATTTCTCCACATCTCATCAAGTTTCTGGTTCATCTAGACTAGGGGTCGGCAAACTTTTGAGACAGAACGTACACAAAGAGCTGCATGTGGCTCGAGAGCTGCAGTTTGCCGACCCCTGATCTAGACAATTACATGTACCATTCCTCTCACTCCTACCCATATATGTTAATTCAATCAGGGCAATGCAATTCAGAATGTGCAAGTCTGGCTGGATACATTTCCAAATAATGTAATGCTGCCTTCCTTTTAATGGTAAAATAAGTGTAAATGAAAATCTTACAATAAAGCACTCTTTTGCCTTCATAAGTAGAATACACTAAACATAATTTAACTTTTTTTGATAATGAAGGTCATCTTAACAAATGCCATAATTGTGCCAAGCTCTATTACAGGTGATACCTTCTGGAGCTAATGAGGGTGTGGGGCTGTTTGCTAACCAGTAGTGATTATCCCGTCCAAATTGGTGCTCTTGCCTCCCTTGCTGTCAGCTGTTGTTTCTCACTGCTATTAAGATAGCCACCACCCCCACAGGCCACTATTATAAATTAGTGAAAAATGAAGGCATTGCCAGGGGAAAGCAAAGAAATGAGAAAACTTGAGTTTACGAGGTCTGACAATTTATGAGGTGAACTTGTTGCAATGCTGTTGCTAACCTTTTTTGGTACCAGAGGGATTATTCATTATAAATTTGTACCAACTGGGCAAACAGTTAACCAACTTTACTATTTGGAAGTGCTGAAAAAGCTGTGTGAAAAAGTTCGATGACCTGAACTTTTCATCAACAATTCATGGCTGCTGCATCACAATAATGTACCAGCTCACACGGCACTGTCTGTGAGGGAGTTTTTAGCCAATAAACAAATCACTGTATTGGAACACCCTCCCTACTCACCTGTTCTGGCCCCCAATGACTTCTTTCTTTACCCAAAGATCAAGGAAATATTGAAAGGAAGACATTTTGATGACATTGAGGACATTGAGGGTAATACGATGACAGCTCTGGTGGCCATTCCAGAAAAAGAGTTCCAAAATTGCTTTGAAGGGTGGACGAGGCACAGGCGTCAGTGCATAGCTTCCCAAGGGGAGTACTTCAAAGGTGACCATAGTGATATTCAGCAATGAGGTATGTAGCACTTTTTCTAGGATGGGTTCTCGAACTTAAATTGTCCAACCTTGTATACATACCACTTCTAATTTAGTAGACATAATCCCTAGGAAGAGTCAACACTGGTTGGAAATCAGAAGACAGGCTTCCTGGCCCAATCCCACATAACCCCTGGCTTGGGGGCCCGTCAGTAAATCAGCTAACCTCTCCCAACCTGAGTACCCTTACATGTTTACCAGTGAGAGCACACACCTACCTCTTTGGGCTATTAGATGGATTAACCAAAATGATGGCAGGAGCATCTGGTATAACATATGACACAAAAATATGTGCTGAGTATGTTTGTGTATTTTAATGTTGTTTGTTTTCTAAATCTAAAGTGTGAAGAAGAGACTGTTCCATGACACAACAGAAGGAAGAAATTCCTCACTGGGAATCCCCCTCAGAGACTGTCTGATTGTAATCGACGTTCATTCTGCACCCCCTTTCCCCTGCATCCCAGTACATGCTGGCTCCTGGAACAGACTATTGTCCTGACCCTGTCAAACATGTAATTTCCCATACTTGTTAGCATTCACATACTAGTACACATGACTATCTGCTCCTCCACCCCCTTTTTTACTCCATGTAATTCTTTGGCACCTGCCAAGCAGGCACAGGGTTCCATTTTGACTTGCAACTGCCCACAACATGCCTCCTATGTATGTTTCCCTTAATAAACTCTATTAATTGCCAGACTGAAGTGGTCAGCCTGTTTCTTTGGTCTTTTCTTGCCCTTCACTTATGGAGGTAGATTTTCAGTCTGGGGGCTTTTCCCTGCTGGGTCTGCATGTACTAACAACTGGTGAGCCAGCCAGGAGACCGAAGAAACGGGCTTTGGGGGAAAAAAAAACCCTGTGGGGAAATACCAGGTTGGTCATCCATAACCACGTGGGGAGGGGTGGCCTATGTTCTAGATACATGTGATCTACTGTGTGAGTACAGGGCTGCCCTCCAAATGCTAACTGGCCTCACACACTTGTTTGAGGAACTACATTGCAGCAAGGCATGAAAATTTATGGTGGAAGCTGTGGGCCGGTTCTTCTTATGGGCAGTTTGGCTGGCCACCAACTAAAGGCAGAAGCCAGGGTTAGAAAATTAGAGGAAAAACTGAAACTAGAAAAAGATGCTAGAATGTCTACAGCTCTGTTAGCATCAGTACTGGCTGTGAGAGGTGGGGGAGGGGTGAGAGGAACGGTCCTTTGAACAGAGCACAGTATTTTTATGGAAGTCATGAGGTTTCGATTTGCATCTGATAGTTTGTCCATGTGTGTCTATATATGTGTTGTATTTGTGTGGCATAGTCTACCTCCAGATGGTATTGCTAACTGGTAAAAGCTACACTTAATTGACTTAAAGGAATTAAGCACTTATATACATTAAAGATTGGGTATTGTAAAATTCTCAGAAATATAGAAACCAACCCAAATGCTTTTCAGGATCAAATGATTTGGGAAAACATCTGATATTAAAGTTAGTTTAAGTTTGTTGGTTTAATGAAGACAGATATGTCTTTACTTTTATTTTATCTAGGCTTATAAATTTATCAGCAAAAATAATAACTTAGAATGAAGGTTGGTTCTGTCTAAAGTCTCACAAAGTTTTGTGGGTAGCCTCAACATAATTGTTAAGAACTAATAAATTAAATAGATTTAAATGGAATAAAAGCTTTTTAGGTGAAACCTTTAGCAATAATTGTAGAAGGCTTATGAAGAGAAATCTTTGGAGAAAAAATTTTTAATGTGTGGCCAAGCTGGCTAAGGTAGTGGATTCAAATATCAAAAGTAAGCTAATGCAAAATTAGAGTTTGGTTCTCTTTCTCTCTGTTAAAAAGACAAAATTTTCTTGGACTGTGGGTCTGCTCCTGCTAAGATATTGTTACAAGTTTTCTACCTAAAAAACAAAGATTCTATATTTTATCAAAATAACTTTCTGTGTTTTATGCTGTCTTAATCAGGCCTTTGATTACTTAAGAAAACTGCATCTTCTCAATAGTAAAAGTTAACCTTCTGCATTTGAAATGCCCTAGCTGACTTTCCTCAAAAGGCAGCAGCAACAAAATCTATAAAGATTGTAGCACATACGGACAAAGTTCATTCTGCTTCTGCAAAAATGACCTTTCATTGCCAGGCTTTTGCTATCTGGATGTCCTTATAATATGGTAACAATCTGCTCCCGAATCATGGAAATTAAGATGGGTAAACAATAGTTGTAAATTAAATGAATAGTTGGGGCTATGGGAAACCCAAGACAGCCACTTAGTTCTCCCAGGCTCACTGGCAAACGCCATTTTTCAGTGTTTGCATTCCTTCATTCACCATAGTGCATTTAAGCTTGACTTCATTCAATTGCCACTTAGTATGTGTTATCATATGTTCTTGAATGTATATCTTCCGGATATACATAAGTCTGATGCCCTCTCAGTGACAAAGAAACTGTTAGAAAAAGTGTTTCTCATTTGCGGTATACCGTTCAAGTGCTTCCTCAACGCAATTTACCCAAAACCACCATATGCCATGGAATGATGGCTTGGGACATGTCACTGATTTCCTTCCCAACCTCTGTGAAATGGGCTCATTATATTAACGACATAATGATAACCTATGAAGAGTTGCTTCCACCACAGAAAACTTTGCAGTCTCTACTGGACCACCAACAAGAGAGAAGATGGGCAGTGAATCTGCAGAGAATTCAAGGTCCAGACACCACAAAAAAGTTCCTGGGAGTCATGTGACTGGGTCTGGCTTCTAGATAAAAGCCCTGTCAAACCAAAACTTAGATTTTGTCCCGGAGCACAGAACCCATCAGAACTCACTTAAAGTAATCTACAAAACTGTGAGGTAATGAATGGGAATTGTTTTAAGCTAAAGTTTTGGTAATTTGCAACACAGAAACAAAAAAAATGAAAACATAGCTTCAAAGATTTGCTCCCATGACTATTAATAATTAAAATG